GGTGATGCAACTTTGGTCTTAGGATACTTAGGGTTAGAGGCTTCAAATACAAGTGATAGGTTGTACAATTTATCAGAAGAGCGATTCAAGGCCCTTGGGCCTCTTGTTTTTTTCAATATGTTAAATTATTTCCACTGTTATACCTCTGAAATCAGGTTTATTTGGTTCTGGTCACGTATGTTTAGTGGTATGGTAGGTTCAGATAAGGACAATAGAGCTTGGTAGAGTGAATGGGATTAAATATATGTGTGGTCCCTCTTCCTGTTGCATATGAATTTGATTTGAGAATTCCTGTCTAGATTATCAATTTAATTAACACCATACATTAAATGTTGTTTATTGGTAGATGCTAATGAGTGTCCTATTACATTAAATTTTTTTTTATAGATGCTGATGAGTGTTCTACATGGGGTAACCAGTGCCCTCAGATGTGCCACAATGTTAAAGGCTCCTATAAGTGTATGTGTTACGATGGATTCTCCGATGTCAAAGGCAAGGGAACAAAGTGTAAAGCAGAAGGTAATTGATACATCTAATTTATTGGTTTGGTTTGAACATATTTTATTGTAATGTATATTTAAAAGGGATTGGGTTGAAGTTCTGAAACCTTCCAACAAGTCTGAATGAATTTAAACATGCAAATTTTAAATTTACAATATATGTACAGTAATTTACATCATATTGCTAATGTATCAAAGAACTATATTCATATGTCAAGTCACCACTCTTTTATTTTTCTTAACAGGAATGACTGCGGTCTTCTTCACCACTGGACATGAGATTCGTCAGATAATTCTGGATCGTAAGGACTACTCAGGAACTGTAAACAGTGGACAGTATCTGGGGGGAATCGATGTTGACATGGGTCGTAAACTGATTTACTGGACGGACACGTCAATGAAGAAGATCCGCCGGGCAGGGATCCCACAAAACATGAAGGTGGATACAGAGGCTCTACCACAGGACCTAAACATCGCAACTTATCAGCCGGAGGATGTCGCCATAGACTGGGTAGCCAGGTATGATATCAAAGTTTTTTAAATCAGGGCACTATCATTGGGTGGCCAGGTAAGATATTATGAACATTGCGACTTACCAGCCAGAGGACATCGCCTTAGACTGGATTGCTAGGTAAGGTGTCAGAATTCGAAATCAGGGCACTATCTGGGGCTAGGTAAAATATCAAATGAATCTTTGGATACGAATTATAAGTTGGCTTGGTTACTTAAGATATCAAGTTCATGATAATTTCAGATATTTACAGATGAATGGCCGGTAAAGACTTCAGATTAAACTGAATCAAGAATGAAATGGACTTTTCTTATCGGATCTAAAACCATGAATATGGTTCTTTAAAGTAATTTATCAGACATCCAAATATCTAAAGAATTCCCATGCATTTTTGTTTGTGCTTTTCAGGAACATATATTGGACGGATTCTGCACATAATACAATATCTGTGGCCAAAAGTGATGGAAGATATGCCAAGGTTTTAATCAGGGAAGACCTTGGAGTTTCCATTGGCTATTGCTGTTAATTCAAAATTGGTAGGTCAGGGGTCAAGTTCTAATTGAAAGATAAAGAACAAAGGCAAATAAAGTTAGAAAGATTAAAAAAATGAAGTGAAAGATTAAAATGCATGACCAAATTTTCTATGAAATACTATAGAAGTCGTATTTTTTCTTTGTTGTTAAACTTACCATAGAATGTTATTTTTTGGTGGTACTTTTGAACGCAATGCTTTAAATACAAAGTTTATTGATGCCGTAATATTAAATAACAGATATTCTTGCCATCTAAAGTTACTTGGAAAAGAGAACGTCTCCTTGCAATAGATTTGTTGCTTACTAATTCTCAGGTGGATGTATTGGACGGATGCGAGTGGCTCTTATCCTAAGATAGAGAGGGCTTGGATGAATGGTGATCACCGGGAGGAGCTGGTATCTACTCGCCTGGGGCGCCCCACGGGGTTGGCTATTGATGACCACATGAATGACAGAGTGTTCTGGTGTGACTCTGAAGAAGAGAAGAGACCTGATAAAAAGTCGATGAGAATGCTGATGGATCGGACAGAGTCACAGTGATAGGCAGAGGTATAAATACCTGAAGGGGCATCATATTTGCAAATTTATGAATTTACAGGGATTTTTTTTTTGGATATTTTGTTTGTACCTTTTTCATATAAAGGGGAGAAAATTGTCTACATTTACTCTGGATGTGATTTTACTATTTCAGTTTAGGCCTCAAACACCACACTCCCTGGAAATTTTCAGATAAATGTTGCAAGGATTTTTTATTTTGAAAGCCAGTCTGGTGGTCATTTCTAAAATTATTCATAAACTGATAAATTTTGAATGTTACATAAAATGATTAATCAGGCTTTTTTCCAAACTCAAAGGGTAATTTTGATCTTTTTTTTCAAAAGGGCAAAGATACAGTAGTGAAATCTTCATTGATAAATCCCTGTAAAATTTAACACAGGTTTTGTTTGAATTGGCCCTTGGGAATGGACAGGGGTCAGAATTTGCATGGGAATATTTAGGGATTTTTTTTTTATGTCTGAAGAACTGAAGGGCCAAATTTGGTCATATTGATTTGTAACTGTTTTTATTTTGCATGTAAGATGGGAATACGGCTTTTTTGCTTTTCATAAGTTTTTTTATTTTTGCTTTGTGATTAAATTTTATGCTTGTACACTTCCGTATTGCTTTAAATAAAATAAATAAAATGAAAAACTTGGAACATTTTAGGTATAATAAATCCCATCAGTTTGGATGTGTTTGAGAGTACCCTGTACTGGGCCTCTCAACAGACGGGAAAGCTGATGACCATGGACAAGTTTGGACGAGGTGTCAATGTCACATTACAGGCCGGACTTCTACTACCATCTTCCCTCAAAATCTTCCACCCAAGAAGACACAATATGACAGGTACCATTTGTTAAGTGAAGATTGCATTAAGGAAATACTATACTGAATGGTTCTATTGTGACATTATGTATATTGTCTGTTACAGTGAAGAATCGTTGCCTGTCGTCCACTGAGAGATGCAGTCACCTGTGTCTGCTGACCCCTGATGGCTTCAGGTGTGCCTGTCCAGAGAGAGCACAGTTCAGGGATCCATTCACCTGTGATGCAGGTATATCTCTCTGTTCCTTTTGACTGTAACATAAATTAAAGTACAACCTGAACAAAATTTTCATCTGTGATTATTGTTCTTCTTGACAGCCTGGGAAGAAGAAATCCCAGACCCAGAACTTTGTATATGTTACAATGGAGGAACTTGTTTAATGATCAATGGCTCCAAGTCATGCCAATGTCTAACTGGTATGTAGCATAAAAATTTAGTCAACAGTCTTTATGCAGTGTAACATTTTAAATAAAATACCGGTAGTACTTTCAGAGTACAGATGTTATAATTCTTCTCAGAGAATGGTACATAGATTTTTTCTTTCATTAGGTTACAGTGGGGAGGAGTGCCTTGTAAAACTTCCAGAAAAATTAATTGATGAAGAATCTGCCACAGGTATCTCAACCTCCTCTGTCTATTAAATAATGTAGCACTCTTTTGATTTTAGTGCCCAGCACTAATATATAAATTACTGAAATAAAATTGTTTGAAAAGGAGGCATAATTACAGTATAAACTTGGATTTTCAGATGTGGTTGGGATTATAGTTCCTGTCATCGTAGTCACCATAGTGACAGTAGCCTTCATTTTGTTCTTGTTCATCTTGAAGAAAAAGGGGTAGGATAAAACTTCTTGTACTCACTAATATTCTACAGGTCATTTAACACACTGTGTGGTGAAGAAAACATTCTATTAATTTAAGAATTCAAAACAACAGAGAAAAATTTTTTTAAATTGAAGAAGCATTTGAAAGTAAATTGTCAGATGGTAAATTGACTTGTTTGAAAGATTTCTATACTTTCATAAGAAATGTTTCAATCTTGACAGGAAACTGTTACTTAAGGCTCGTGACCTGAAGGTGGGATCCAGCAGTGTCTCCTACAGGGATGGGGGAAATGTACAGATCGCTCCACCATTCAATTTCGAGGAAGTAAGATCGGAATATTTCAATTTTATTAGCATTTCCTTTTCATCAATATACTGTTTACTAGTATTTTATGAATTTAAAAAGATTTTCACAAGGATTTTTTAAGTTTCACCTACTTACTTATTTTTCAGCCAAATCCAAATTTATGTGGCAGTGAAATAGATTCCACAAACTTTAGTAACCCTATGTTTTTCAAAGAGGAGGGTTTAGATACGACGTTACGTAGTGCACCAGATATAGCAGCCCCAGCGGACTCTATAACATTGTCACAAAGTGGTGTCTCACAGACAAACGGACATGTGGACTCCACCATATAACACACCATAGGGATCTCATACATTACCGAATCCTCATTCTACAAACTGTGTGAAAATTATAAATGTGACTGCAAGAGGATGGATGGATGCTAAACATGTTTTTTTATGAAGTTTGTAAGTTTCTGAAAGCTGTTTTAATGTGGCAGAGAAGAAATATCATATCAAACTTTTCTTTTCTTTGCACATGTACATGTTTATATGTAAATATATTGTTTTTCATTGCTTTTTTGCAAATATAGACACAAATGCTATTAAAAGTATTAAACTGACATTTGTATGTTCCAAAATCAGAGTTACCTCTTTGTTGTTATGCAGAAAATCATTGATTGGTCAAAGTATGCATCCTGTATATGCTAATGGGCTGAGCATATAAACTTCAGCTCCATATTCTGTTTTTTCTGGATTAATTCAGCATTGATTTTCGGTGTAATACAATTTATTTATAATATATCTGTACAATATTCCTGTACTATATTCTGGCCAATAATGTACTACAGAGAAAACAGTATCTGACTCAGCAAATCGGAACTTCAAACTGTGATAAACCCTATCACAAGAAATTATCAGTAGTTATTTTAAAGATGTCTTTAATTCATTAATACATGTAACAATCAAAGAAAAGATCTATTAAAACAAGTTATGATTTTCAAGTTTGAATATTTGAAAAAAAGAAATTATTTGTTTCTTCTTAATTGAATTATACTGATATCAAAAATTTTGAATTGATGGGTGTATTTATTGAATCCTTACAATTGTTCGTTGACTACAGCTTCCAAACTTTTTTTGAACCATTGTTGGTTGTTGATTAAAATACAACAATTGTTTGTTGTAACTTGAATGATTGTCTTGGGTGAAAATCGCATTTTATAGCAGAAATCGATATTTACGTTACTGTCGCCGATCACAGTGACGTCGCGCACGGTGTTGGTGTCAAAAGGTCAATAATTACTATTACGGCGACATTTGCACTATTTTCATAATTTTAAAACAATTCACTGTATGAAAACTATATCATTCGGTCGGTAATTGTCTACTAAATACATTTTAACAAAAATTTTGATTAAAAAATTCCAATTATCAAATATATTAATTCGACTATTCAATCAATTACGTCAAAAATGCAGGTAGATCGGTAACAGGAGCGTCGCACACGCAAGAGCAAAATGTTGATAATTTCCATAATACAAACAATACAAACATAAAATTTAGTAGAAAAGTTCAAAATATGTAACTGATTTAAAGTTTTACAACTGTGATTTTGTTCAATCCGAATGTTGTAAACGCGTTGTTCAAAATGCAAGACAGCGATGTAGATAAACGTTATCCGAAGAAATTTTGAAGGAACATGAAATTTCATCGGTAACTTAAAAAAATAATTTCATGAGCAAAATCAATTTTGAAATGGCATTAAATGATCCTTTTGGTGTGCAAGGAACTATATTTTAAATTAGACTGATATATTGTGTCGATATGAATGTTGGGTTTCTGATATTAAGCCGATTTATTGTGGGGACATTGACTAAGATTATGTGTCACAAAGTTTGGAGGTTCAATGTCGCAAAGTTTTTAAGATTCGTAAAATGGCAAATTTTGTAATGCTGGATGAAAAATTGACATTGAAAATTCTAAATTCTACAAAATGTTGCCATGTTATTAAGAAAAAGATCTCTAGACAGCATTTTAACTTGCGGTGCCTTAAATTTTGATAACAATTGCCGTGTTACATAATATGTAATATTATACTTTCATATAAATTAGTTGAATCTGATTGGTCGAGAAACATTTGCTAAAACACACTACTACCCGCTGAATAATGAAGCCACGCCCTCCAGCGTAGCAACAGTCAACATTGCTTGACGACGGGTGGTATTACAAAAAATAGTGACTGCGCAGAATTTATGCGCGCATGGTTCACTGTTATATGTATTTGTATAAAACATTCAGTATAATATAATAAATATTGCATGTAGTTGAGTGTAACATTGAAAATTTTCACCCCAAGAAAACCATTGTCAACCGAGGCGCAGCCTCGGTTGACAATGGTTTTCTTGGGGTGAAAATTTTCAATGTTACACTCAGCTACATGCAATATTCATATACTACATGTAGCTATACGTCACAATTGAATTTGACGGCAAAAACGTCACGTTTAAATGCTACACCCCAGAAATGACCTACATTTTAAGAATTCATTTTTCTAACTTGGCACCAAACAACGTTTAATACAAAATGTGCAAAATCAAAACTTTATTTAGATATGAAAATGTATTGATTCTATAAAGAAGTGTTTGTTTTATAGGCTTTTTACAATGTCAACATAAATGTCACACATTGTCCAAAAGTAATAAATCTTACTCTAATTGTATAAATGTGGTAACATTGATCATATGTGTGTAGTCATTGAAAATAGATATATTGAAAATTAAACGATTTTTATGAAATGTGCATCTTTTCAAAAAGTTATTGGTATATTCCAAAATAATTTCTGTAGAATGGTGACAAAATCCTAACAAAAATTAAGTGTCAACATAAATGTCACAGACGTAAAAATTTGGCGTTTTGACGTTATTAGGTTCAATGCATAAAAGTCATGTAAAGCGTCTAAATATTTATCTCTCTCCAAAACTTACTATAAATTGCTGACAAGCCTGATATAGATAAAAGAAAAACATACCAATAATGATTAATTAGAAAAATAATTTAAGTTTTAAAAGTTGCATTTATATATAAAAGTAAAACATGTGCAGTGTATATTTGTACACTGTATCGGTATAAATCCTTGTCAGAATCTGTACAAAAGTACCATTCAGAGTTCGAATTAGGACACGAGAAAAAAATTACACAAACCAAAATTTATGCAAGGATATGATTTCAAATTTGAATTAACTCACAGTAAAGTGTGTCAACTCTATTTTATGCTGGTATAAAATGTTCTCTACATGGCGCATTTACATTGAATAGTCCAATATTGAATAAGGGTTAGGGGTTGTCGGAGGTGAGTACAAATGTATTAGATTTTCATTACAAGATGGGATGGGAATTTGAACGAAAAAGAAAATAATATTTTTGCAAAATCAGCAAAATATCTACAATCGTACAATTTACTGAAAACAAAGGACAGGTTCTAGGGCCTACTGATATGGAATTTTATAGAATTTATCTCAATAAAATAAAAAGCATGTAAATTTAAAATGCGATGTTGAACAAGTTTCGTTATTTCTACCAAGTTTTTTTTTTAAAAGAGGCAAACCATGCTCATACTTTCTTCCCGCAATATGCATGCAGAAGGGTGCAGAAAATTTAATGACACGTGTTTTCCATTACCTGCATTATATAATTGGCGGTATTATTGGGTTTTTATTTTTCCTCCATAAAAAATGTTAGCAAAAAAGTAACGTCAAATAAATTTTCTAGAACTTCACGTAAAATAACGTCATTTTGACGTTTTTACACTTGTAGTTTTTATTTAAACCAAAGAGAAGTTTTAAATCACTTACATATCTTTTTCTTAGTAAGATTGCCCTACATTTGAGTTATATTTTCTGAATATCACACCCTTCACACATATGCGTGTCACAAATTTAAAAAAAATTAATATATTTTTCAAATTTTGATGTCACCGCAAAATTATTACTTTTCTATTTAGAAATTCAAAAGGACTTGACTCAATAGAATTAAGTTGTAACTTTTTAACATCATGAACACATCTTCTATTGCATGGAAAGGTAAAAAAGACACTTTTTATCTGTGTTTCTAAAATATAGCCCCCCCCCCCCCCCACACACACACACACAAATTCTACTTGTGAATAATATTATGTCAATTCAATTTTCAAATCACACGGATGCACAATATATTGTGTAAAAAAAAGTTCACCTTTGCATGTGCACTTCCATTTGCATTTCTGCACTCTTGTGACAGAAAATAATGCCATTTTAAGAAACAGTGTATTTCTTCATGTTTTTAGTTTTTAAATCATTAAAATTCACTCGCAAATCTGTTCAAACAGCTTAAGAATTTAATTCTAATTTACTTTAAAGCGTGGTAACGTAAATATCGGTAATGTAAATATCTTTCTGAGATTTATCGTAACTTTTAATGCTGTTGTTTAATTATTCCACTGTTAATTAAAGGCATATTCTAGTGCTTGAGTGTAAGGCAATTTAACCCATAGGAAACAGTGTAGTTCTCTTACTTAATTTGTGAATAAATATCAACACGTAAATATCGATGAATTTTTTAACCATTGAACTCATTAGAAAAGGGGGCTTTTTTTTTTTTATAAATACAGATAAACAGTGTCTTTTTTACCATTCCATGCAATAGAAGAGGTATTCATGATGTTAAAAAGTTACAACTTAATCCTATTGGGTCAGTTCAGCAATCCTTCAAGTCCTTTTGAATTTCGAAATAGAAAAGTAATAATTTTGCGGCGACATCAAAATTTAATAAATATATTACAATTTTTAAAAATTTGTGACACGCATATGTGTGAAGGGTGTGATATTCAGAAAATATAACTCAAATGTAGGACAATCTTACTAAGAAAAAGACATGATAATGATTTAAAACTTCTTTCTGGTTTAAAATAAAAACTACACGATGATCGGCGACAGTAACGTAAATATCGATTTCTGCTATAAAATACAATTTTCTCCTAAGACAATCATTCAAGTTACAACAAACAATTGTTGTGTTTTAATCAAAAACCAACAATGGTTCATACGACTGGCAGAAAATAAAATTTATTAGAAATATTATATTACTTAAAACACGGTACATTATTTAAAACGAATTGAGACTATAAATTGAGAATCAGTGTTGAACAGTGAATGTTCTTCATCGCTTACCGTGATTTAGATCCTTGGGGTTTAGGATCTCATCCGAAAGACCTTTGACCTTCACTTCTAATGATTATAATAGTAATTTTTGTCGTCACAATGCGCGCATAATTTCTAATAAGATAATACAACCTCAGTTTTACTCCTAAAAATAATTATCATACGTTTGACATTATTCAGAACTTTTTTTAAAGCCCTTGTGTTAAAAAGGGAATTTAGTCTTATATACGAAAAAAGTAAAAATATGATTAAAGTAATAAAACAGTTTTAAAAATCGTATCAGACATCCTTACCTTTTTTAAAAATATGATCTTCATACTGAAAAAAAAATCAAAACATTTACCCACTATAAAGACAAGCAACACCCGCTTTGAAGAAATCTTACCGTAGGTAATCCTCAAAGTAAAACATTGGAAAAGAAACACAAA